TATGCAAAAGTGCAATACAACCTCCAAATTTTCAGTCATTTAAATTGTCTCATATCTCTATATTTGCAGGCTCTGGAGGCCATCGAAAAGTTGCAAAAGAATGTTGATACTCTCATAGTGATTCCCAATGACCGTCTGCTTGATATTGCTGATGAGCAGACACCTCTTCAAGATGCTTTTCTTCTTGCTGATGATGTTCTACGTCAAGGGGTTCAAGGAATTTCAGATATAATCACGGTCTCTGATTCTTTCACATGCCTAGCTACATTTTCAAATATTCTTAGATTGCAATGTTTCTAGAGGTTTTCAGATTTTACTTGATCATTCTTGTTAGACATTATGACCTGTAGCTTGCAATAACTACTGAATATATTTGGTGATGCATGAATTGTTTTCATCTAGGCCATAAATGATTAAATGCTCGAACCATTTAAACTTGGTTTAATAATTGCTTTTACCGTTTCCTATTTTCTGGTTTCGAGCTTTATGACTAATGGAATTTCTTTCTTTTTGCAGATACCTGGATTGGTGAATGTGGATTTTGCGGATGTCAAGGCAGTCATGAAAGATTCTGGAACTGCAATGCTTGGGGTAGGAGTTTCCTCTAGCAAAAACCGCGCCGAAGAAGCGGCAGAACAAGCAACTTTGGCTCCCTTAATTGGATCATCAATTCAATCAGCTACTGGTGTGGTATATAATATTACTGGAGGAAAGGATATAACGCTGCAGGAAGTAAATAGAGTGTCACAGGTACACATGGTGTTAGAAATTTCTTCTTTGCGTGTTCAATCTTCTCATGTTTATGGAAAATGAAACACATTTTGGCTACATTCTCTTTGTGATCTGTGTTAGATTTTGCTGATTTTCAGGTTGTGACAAGTTTGGCTGATCCTTCGGCTAACATCATATTTGGTGCTGTTGTCGATGATCGTTACAACGGGGAGATCCATGTGACTATTATTGCTACGGGCTTCTCACAGTCGTTTCAGAAGACACTATTAACTGACCCCAAGGCTGCAAAACTGATCGACAAAGTTGCAGGAGGACAAGAAAGAAAGGGGATATCCTTACCCATCAAACCGTCATCACCTTCTTCTGTTCCATCTGGATCACCCCCTCGAAGGCTATTATTCTAATTTCCTTGATCTCTTCGATCATAGACCTGCCTTTTTCCATTAGTTGTGTAAAGATCTTGAAGCTTATGAGTATTATTAGTTGCCATTTGTTTTATATGATTGTGTTCCCCTTCAATAATTAACGGGTTTTGAGTAGGCTAACATATGTGTCCATGCTTGAATCCCGAACTAGCATGAAGAGATGAGCTTGAAATGATTCCACGTATGAGGTTGTGGATGTTATCACATTGATTCGATTCATGTTCTTTTGCTTCTTCTTTAAGAATCCATGTTCAACATTTTTGGAGAATTAAATAATTCTTATAGAACCAAACTGGCATACAAAGATATCTATAAACAACAATGACGCATTCAAAATCACTTCATACAAGCACATCTGATGTTGCTTGTAAGTTCAACATTGTTGTTCGAGATGTTCATGAATTGAATCAAAACGATTAAACCTTTTAAACCCGATCTTAGACCTGATATTACTCAGCCCCACCCATATGTCAAAATTTTGACACACTTAAGAACATGGGATTTGATTAAAAAAGAGATAGTCGGATCAGGCTCAAATACCATTCCCCGGGTTGGCCTATTGCAGACCGAGGCAGGTAATTCTATCCCCGATTACTCTAATTCATGCTGGCTACAATGCTTTAGATTCGTCAACAAAAGAAATAATATATGATAAATAGTTAAAATTTGTCTACAAGACTTAAATTACTTGTAATTTACATAGTTTTGAGAACATACAAGGAAAAGGAGGCGCACAAAGGCAAATAATAAGTATCCAACATGGAGGTAAAAAATGAAAACCAACTCCACTCATGACACCCATACAACAATGGTGAACTTGTTGTATTTGCAATTGTTGGTAATTACAAATATTTTATCAGAAGGTATAATGCGACAACCAAAATCACGATTCCGATAACGGCTAATAGCATGCACATACAGGAACAACCACCTTGGTTCGCTTGTTCAAAATTGCTAGGTTTCTCTGTACTCTCTGTTAGCAAAGAAAACAAAATCCTTAGAATCCACTATGACAGTATAATTTAAATAACTAAAAGTCATCGAATTCTTAGTTTACTTGAGATCTTTTTGTCTATTCTAAACACAAATTGAATGACCATGAATTCTATCCTTCCTCCCTAACAAGATTCATCACCAATTATTTCCCACAACATGACATATTCTGAGGCTTAAAGTCATTTATAGGAATGCCTATTTCTAGTAGGGGGGCTGGATAAATATATTAAACAGCAGTCATTCGGTTTCATACCTTTCAAAAACAAAAGGAAGATATTGTGCTATGCATTTAAAATGTTAATTAATAGCAAGTCTTTTACCCGTAGGCGAGAATCGGTAACATCAACATGTTCGTCTAGGCCATCCTGCATTGAGAGGGAGCACAACATAAAGTTTACCGATTGTGAATCAATCTTCACCAAGCATTTGCTTTAAAGAAATTAGAAGCAAAAGAAAAGAATAAAGAGCAACATACAATGAGTCTGGTATGCAGATCAAGTTCTTCATTGACCGCCAATGCAATATGCTTTGTACTTAATACTGTCTCCTCCAACTTCTCAAGACCCTCATCTTGCTCTGCTTGAAAAAGACACGTTCATCAGTTGAGGAAACTAAAGCAATTATACAATCCAGCATAACGCGCAAGAAAAAAAATTCTTTTACAACTGGACATGAACTTAAATTGAAAACAGAATAAATATCAAGAAAATCCAAAAAGAATTAAGAAATCAAATTATACCCAATTGTCCACCTCATAAAATTAACTTTATTAAGGGCCATCAACAAAATTCCCCTTTTCCTATGTATGATGCTAAATTAAGCTGAATCCAAAGCAAACCCTATATCAGATGGGTCTTCAAGAGACTTTATTTAAACTGCAAAAGCGGGAAACAGCCCCTTTTTTGAACAGTGTATGGTCTAAAGTATCCAAATTTGGAAGATTATATATAAAAGAAAAATTTAGCAATCAAATTAATTCCAATATAATAAATAAGGAAAAAAGAAGGAAACTGATTCAAGACCCAACAACAAATTCCCAACTTCCCCAAATTCCAGTGAATTAAGCAAATAACCATATCATTTAATGAAAATTTAATGAAAAAAATAAACGAAATTCACAAACAACTTACAAGGAGGAAACTGAAATCGAATGAGCAGTCAATCAAACCCCAAATAAAACAAGTTTGGAAAATCGGGTGGGGGGCAGAGAGAGAGAGAGATCGGATTAAATAAAAAGCACGAAAGCAAAAATTGAAATTACCTGAGTTTGATTGAACTTTTGATGGTCGAACAGTAGAATTAAACGACGGCCAAGTATATTAAGACTGCCGCGAGATTTCCCGCCGAAGCAACCTCAACGTTGCTTAACCCATTATCAGGGTCTTTTTCAATTTGTTCTATAAAAAAAAATAAAAAAGGAATCATTCATTTCTTTGTCTTGCATTTGTTTGAGTTTTGAAAAAAAAAGAAAGAAAAAAGGACGAATAATTTCAGTTGCATGTCATTTTCCATGCCAATTTTTTATGGAGGAAAAGTAAAGGAAGTCTCGTTGACGTTTCTTCTTTGTTTTATAGTACTATAAATGTTGTATTTTCAAATACACGTGGGAAGAAGCTCTTTGATGAATATGGCAGCAATAATATAATGACAGTGATATTGTTAAGACGCATAACCTAATCAAGTTCTTGAGCTCACCCTCCATGTTCCTATACCTTTACCCTCCCAGGCCGTGCTCTCATTGTATACATAATATGGCAGTAATATACTAATTATTAACGTTTAAGTCATTACAAAAACTCTCTTATGTTTTGTCTGGTCTTATCCAAGAAATTAAGGAGTTCTTTTCATATGTATTATATATAAAAGGAAAGAAACAACAAGAAAGATTCTTCACACCTTTTCATAGGCATGTAAACGAACTGAACGCACACGAACGGAGGTATGTTCATGTTCGTTCATTTAATAAATAAACGAACATAAACGAACACGAACGTAAACGAACAAATTTTTTTTGGTTCATGTTCGTTCATTAAGGAATATAGCTTGTTCATGTTCGTTCATTTAAATAATAAACGAACACGAACGAACGAACATAAACGAACAACACAAACATAAAAAAACTTATTCGAACACAACAAACGAACGTAAAAAAGTAAACAACAAGGATAATAACTTAAAATTCATTAATATAACCTGTAACTTTAGAGTTAATTTGTTCGAATACGACAAAAACATACATAAACCATAAATAAACTGTATGAACATAATAAAATCGTAAAGTTAATTTGTTTAATAAAACAATCTTCTTGAAATCCAAACAACTTCAATAATCTTCGTAACATATTCAACTTGTCCTCTGTTCGAACATAAATGAACAAACATAAATGAACATAAATGAACGAACATAAACGAACATATAATCGAACGTTCACGAACGTAAATGAACGAACGAGCCCTTTGTTCATGCTCATTCATTTAATTAAACGAACACAAAATCTTGTTCATGTTCGTTCATTTAATAAATAAACAAACATAAACGAACTTCTCGCCGCACGGTTCATGAACGATTCGCTGAACGTTCAGTTCATTTACAAGTCTACCTTTTCATATGTATTTTTATTTTTTTAAATAACATTTTAATATATTAATTTTTTTAATTTATTACGAATTTTTTGAGTCGAGTATCAAGTAATTCATTTCGACTCGTTAAGAACTCAAGTCGAATCTATTCAAATCGAGTATTTATCGACTAAAACTATATGAGAAATTATAAAACTTCTTATTAAAGAGTATGATCTTAACATGCAAACGGATACAAGGTTAAAGAAATCATATCTATATGAGAAATTATAAAACTTGTGCAGCTCCCACTAAAAACCGTACACATTCATTGAATTCGTTGATAATCTTCTCGTCGGCACCATTTCTCAAGAGTTGAGTGTACGATAAGCAGGCTGCGGTGAGAGCTATATTTGCCAACGCCAAGGGTCCTGAAATGGTCTGGTGGAGCTTGAACTTTCCGGTGGCCACCAATTTTTTCTTCAGAAAGATCTCTAAATCAACGAATAGTCCTTGTAAAACGAAGAACCAAGTGACCTCCCACGTAGGGTATTCGCGGATTATATGGTAATATATCAGTTCATGCATCAAACCAGAAATGACGAATGTTGCCATAACAGCAGGGTATGAAGCCCACCTACGTCCGATTATACGCGTAGAAATGGTTTTTACAGGGTCGTATATGGTCGAACGCAGTGTATCTGAGACCCTGAGGTTCCATCTATGTCCCCAGAAGTCTTGCAGTGAAGTGGCTCGAAGCGGTGCTTTGAACTGTGGCTCCAGTTTCGCACCAGGGAGCAAGAGCTGGGCTGGGATTGCAGCCACAGCTAACAACAACTGGATTGTAAAACAAGTGTGGAAGAGGTAGAGGACCAGCAAAACATTGCCATGGAAATATTGCTTAAAGTTGTAAGAACAAAACAGAAAAACCAGCAATGTGGCCTGTTTCGCAGCCTCCACGACCATACAGTGACCTCTTGGGGTTTCACCATTTTTAACTGAGTTTCCTTTGATCTTGAAAGGTAAATAAGCTGTGAGGATGAAAAGATAAGGCTTTGGGGGGAGAGGTGAAAGGGGACCCTGATCGAAGGCAAATAAAACGAGCTTGAAATTGGCCAGCCATGAAAGGAGAAACACACAACTTGATCCAATATGAAAAGTTTGAAGATCAAAAGGGATAATTGAAAATAGAATGAGGACTGGGAAGATTGAGACAAGCCTTGGGAAGCCCTTTGAAATCTTTGATGAAATGTGGTAGCAATAATATAATGATAATATCGTTAAGAACCATAACCTAATCAAGTTCTTGAGCTCACCCTCCATTTTCCTCTACCTTGTATACATAATATGACGGTGTGTATATATATATATATATATATATATATATGTACATACACACACATTTACACATAAAGCACATTGGAAGATTAGGCGTTGCTTGGTATAGGGATCTATCAAAACATGGGAAGTACGTAACTCAACTTTGATTGGTAGGTAGTTAGTGATCCTGCATTTTGGATCACTGAGATTGATCAAATTACTGCCTTAGTTGGAAGATAATAGGATTCCTATCTAAAATGGTAGAAAACCTTTGCCCCATTTAATATTTGAATTAAAATATTAATTTTCCCAATATTATATCCATTTTTTGTTATAATTGTTACATTTTTCACACAAGTATATATTTAATTAAGATTATATTTAACATATATTTTTTCTATTGACATAATTTTAACAGATATGCTTTTGTTTTGTGTTATAGATATACATTTACTTATCTATATATGTTTTTAACTTAATAATTTAATTATACTTCATTATAAAGTAAATATGTTGTTGTTAGTATCTTATCTGAACGTTATTGAATTCATTAGATTGAGTAATGTTAGGTGTGGCTTGAATTTAGAAGTCCTATAAATCCAGTTTCAAACTTGCCAAAAGTTAGGCTCGGATTTCACATGTCAATAAATTAAGGCAGGGCTGGCAAAATGACCGAGATAATGTAAGTGAGATTTTTTAATTCCTAATTTAATCCACCCCTGACATTATTTTCCCATCTAGGGTGAATTGAACAGTACTAACCTAAAGACGTCAGGTGCTCCACGCGTCTTCAAGCTAAATATGAAGACTTCAAAATTGCATGGCGTATTCAGGAAAATGAAGAAGACCCCACGACTATATGACGTCTTCAGGCAAATAGAGAAGACCCCAAGAGTGCACGACGTCTTCATACTAATAAGAAGCCCTAGTTCAAAAAATAATATAGTGGATGATTTATATGTAAAAATAATTTTTCTCACAACCCTATATTATATGTGCAAGGGAGCCCTATAAATCACATGCCAAAAGTTAGGCTCGGATTTCACATGTCAATAAATTAAGGGTGTTTGTACATCATTTTTTAATTAGATGTAAAAAAATAGATAGAGTCAGGGATTTACCTAGGTGGGGTGGACCGCGACGGTCGCCTCCCCTAAAAATTTAAAATTATCATATATTTTAGAATTTTTCTGTATATTTTCTATTAAAAATTTGTTTTCATTCCCTAAAATTTTATAAGTTTAAGTTCACATTCCCTAACATAAAATCATAAGTACGTCCAAGGCAGAGTATAAAAATAGAAAGACTTTTTTATTTTATTTTTTTTATTATTTCAACAATTCAATTTATATATCATAATAGATATAGTTACTACTTTATCCTATAACATATAAATTGAAAATATATATAAAAACGAGAAGTACCAATAAATTAAATGTAACTCTTTTATAGTGTATGGAATATAAATTATAAAAGGTTATATCATATTGCTTTTTTCTGTTCTAGTATAGAAGCTTTTTATGTGGTTTTCCATCTCTATTCGTTTTTTCATAGAATTTGTATAAATTTTATAGTAGTAAATCTAATTTAGTAATTATACAAAAATTTAATTATAGAAAAGTTGATTTTAAATATGTTTAATTGATTGAGTGTAATTATATTTTAATTCATCGTGTTATGTTTTTGTACTACAAATTGTGATTATATAATCATTAAATTTAAATTTTAAAATAATATAATTAAAAATTAAAACTTAAGGGTTAATTTTGTCACAGGAGTAAATTCAAATAAATAATTTAGTCATTGCTTTTTATTTGCACTAATTTTATCCTCGAAGTCATGTAATTACATTAATTCTATCATTTGATCGATACTGATAATTATGATGTTAACGCGATAATTAACTATGTTAACATGACAGTCAACTGTACAAACATTATGATTCACTACATTGATGTGAAGGTCCATGTGTGAATGATGACATGACAAAGAATTAAAATTATCTTTTTAACCAACTTTAAAGGCATAATTAATTTTTTATTGAGTTGAAGAGCATAATTGTTTTATAATTATTTTTTATTGAAAGTTGGGGTTACTTAAAATTTAAGAGAAAAATAAGATACTATGAAATTTTAAAAATATTATTAAAATATATAAAATATATTAAAATGAAAATATTAAAGATAAAAAGTGAAAATTATAAAATTAAAAAGATAAAATATTATAAAATAATAAATTTAAATTTAAATTGTTACAAAATAAAAATATTTATAAATTATTAACAATTTTAATAAAAATATTATTAAAAATATATAAAATATATTAAAATAAAAATATTATACTATGAAGTCTCCTAGATACCCCGCGATATTATAAGGGATATTAGTAGAATTCAACCTAAATTTATGAATCAAAAAATTAAATATCAATGATGTTATAATTTCTTTTTCTTTTTTTGTAAAAATTTTCTTATTCTTAATTATATTTAATCTGATATATAGTATAAATTTTCATTGATCAATTAAAATTGAATATTTTATCAATAACAAAAAGGATAAAGTATATAAATGGTTATCGGACTATAGGATATTATATTATTAAGCCCCTTAACTATTAAAAGTTACAAAATAGTTAGTTGATTATTCATTATGTTCCAAACTCGTCATTTCCCGTTAAAAATTTGACAGCAATCTGAGTTGTACATTAACTTGCTAATTGAGATATGATAAAACATGATCTCATAATCTCAATCGAGTATCATATCTCAGTCAGCATGTTAACGTCCAACTCAGATGGAAGTTAATTTTTAATGGAAAATGATGAGTTTGAAACATAATGAATAGTTGAGTGACAATTTTTTAATTTTTAATAGCCAAGGGACTCAACAAAATAACTTCATATAACTGAGGGGTCATTTTATAACTTTTAATAGTCAAGGGACTCAATAAAATAATATAAAAAAATTAAATGAAATATTCAGTCTAATTTTAGTCACACAGATCGTTATTATTATAGTGATTTAAAAATTATAGATTGATCAAAGGGTCTTCTAATCTTAACATGCAAATGAATAAAAGACAACATAAATTGTGCGTGCGTGAAAGTGGTTAACCATCTCTATTCTTTATTTTTCTTTGGATTAACTACATGGGTGGTTTGTTTTTTTTTCACATTTAATTTTTGATTTTTAAAAAAATAAGATATGGTCATCACGTGTTAATTGTTGTTAATAATTAATATAACATGTGACGTGATAGTTGTTGGTTCATGTTATTTACATATTCTCTCAATTTAGTTATATTTTTAAATAAATTTTAACATAAAATATATATTTATAAATGAAAATAAAAATAAAATATTTTTAAATTAAGTTAATAATAAAGTATATTTAATAAGTCAATATAAAAAATATTTTTTTAAGTTAATATATATAAAATATTATGAATTTAAGTATGCATACACTAAGATATAAAATATATACACCATATTGTCTACTTTAGATCAAGCAATGGTCTTAGCTTAATAGTTAGATACATGTTTAGTTTCCTAAGTGGCCAATGTTTGAATCTTTTTTGTCCCAATTTGTTTGCTTTTGTTTTATTTCAACTAGATGGTGACATGTGTTACTCTTTGATTGGTGAAAATAAATATATTATATTAAATTAAAAGAAAGTTAGTTTTCCAACCGAATGGTGACTCATGGCATGACAATTAGCATCGTTCGATTGGAGGATTAAATTTATTTTAGTTTATTAAAAGTAAGACTAAATTGAGAGAATATATAAATAACAGGATCATATGTGTAATTATATCAAAATATTTAGCTGTTGTTAATGACAGTTAACTCGGGGTGACCAAATATTAATTAAATAAAAATAAAAGTGACCATATCTATAACACCCTAAATCCGATCGAGCTTAAAGTGTAACACTCCAAATTTCGAGCTAATAATTTTGGGTCTACTCAAGAGGTATGTGGACCTCACATAAATTATAATTCAAGTCGTTAGACTTCATTGAGTTGGACTGGGACCAATTAGCCATAAAAACCCAATTAGCCATAAAAAGGGACATTTGCATAGTAGAAAGGTGAAGAGAGACAAGCAGTGCAATTAGCCCATTTCCTTAAAGATGAAAACCTTATATCATTTTTCATCTTCATATTCTCTTCATTTTTTTCTCCTCTTTCTCTCTTCCACCTTCTTCCTCTCCAAGCTATAGCAAGGGTAAGATTTTTTATCCTTTTTATATTTCAAATTCGTCTTAATTAAACCCCAACATCATTGTTTTAATGATCCAAGCTTGAGTTTTATGTTTACAAGAGAAAATTTTGGGTTTTCATCCAAATTTCCAAGGAAAGGATTTTGGCTAAGCAAAGAGCTCAATTTTAGGATTCAATTAGCAAGATAGTGTATTTCTAATCCTTTAGAGTATTAAGTTTCCATAAATTTCAAGAAGTTTCTAATATTTGTATAGTTGAGATTATTAAGGTTTAAACTTGATTCCAATATTAAATAATGTTTTTATAACACTTGACCTTAAATAACTTACTAGAATTTCAGAATCAGTTTAGTAACCAACCCAAGTCATTTAGGATGATTTTGAGTGTTTTCCCAAGCCTAAAAATATTAGTTTCAGGGTTCGAGTATCGATATTGGGATGAACATTATTGATAATGGTTAAATTGGGGATAAAATTAGGGATTTCATAGGGGAGTAACGATACTGCAAGTATCGATACTAAGTCCCCAATTTCGCAACAAAATGTATTTTTTGTACCGATACTCATAAGGGTATCGATAATTGACCCTAGGGTATCGATACTACCCACTTCAGATGACCAAATTCTACTTGTTTAAGGCCCGTAAGAGCCAGGATGATTCATGTGGATAAAACTTAGTCCATAAGGGATGTAAATAGCCAAAGGGGCCGGAGACACCCGTAAGAGTTCGAGCACTAGTGATTGAAGTAGGGTGATTAACCGTTCATTATCAAATAATTGAGAGTATTTAGAATAGATACTACTTTATAATCATCTTAGTTTAATTAAAAATGATAATATTTATTTTACCAAGTTCAAACTGAATTTGGTTTCTCCTTTTAAGTTTATTTAATTAATATTATATTTAACATATACTTTTTCTATTGACGCAATTTTATTAGATATACTTTTGTTTTATGTTATAGATATACATTTTCTTATCTATATATGCTTTTAACTTAATAAATTTAATTATACTTCACTATAAAGTCAATATATTATTACTAATATTTCATCTTAATATTATTTTTTAACAAAAATAAAAACAATTAATTTTATTAGACATAAAAACTATCCGAAAGCACGATAAAAGTTTACAACTAGAATTGTAAACTAAACACATGAGAAAGATATTATCTTATAATCATTAATACAAGAAACTAATCATTAAAGATTAAACATGGATTATACAATGAAAAAGTTAAACACCCGTAAAAACTCAAACAAAAGGAAGATACGAATAGACGTGACTACTACAGTAAATGAATCACAACGTGGGATTAATCTATTGGAAAAACAACAACAAATGTAAATTAAAGCCAAGTACCTTGAAAAAACTATCTAAGGTTGCGTATCCAATCCAATTAAAAAGTATAGAAAAATAAAAGTAATAAAAAACTAAAAAAGAAAATTTATAAAATTAAGAAGATAAAAAATTATGAAATAATAATTTATAAATATATTTTTTTAGACAAATTCCTTTTATTACCCAAGAAGCAGCCAATACACTGCTTCAAGAACAGTTCAATTAGACCAACAGCCAACAACAATCAGGAGAACTGAATCCCCCAACTCTCACAAAGGGCCAAGTTCATAGGATATCTGCTAAATTTTTTCCTATATATTTTAGTCCTCGTAACCTCCTTAATACAATTAACAATTTCACTAGCATCCATCGAGGCCCCCTAAATTACCTACAATTCCTCTCCTCCCATATGTAACATGTATAAGCACACCAAACCACTTTTAGAATGCACACAATCAAAGATTTACCCTTAAGAACAGACACTGCCCATCCAAGCTCCTCATCCCCTCCCCTAACCTCACGATGGACCCTGCACAGTCCGAGTATAATCTCCCAAACTTCTCTAGCAAACACATAGCCAAAGAAAATATGATTTCTCAACTCCTGCACATTCCCACAGTTCCTACAGCCTCCATTAACAACAATGCCGATCCTGCTTAACCTATCAACGGTTGGCAACCTATCAAGAATTGCCATCCAGACAATGACAAAATATGTTTAGGAACATTCATAGAAAATCAGAGCAAGCTCTACCAGCCAACTTTATACTTCCTCACTCTTATCTCATCAAATACCCAATTAACCTGAATCATTTCCCAATTTTCATCACTCCTCAAACTCATAAGTACCTTTGACTATTGTTCATCACTCCCAATTATAATAGGTAGTGCAAAATATTGAATGCATTTACGTAATGGTGGACCCGTTCTTCAACTGTTTCCCTAGGAAGACGTAAATATACAAGGATTGTTAGGAATACCGAATACTTTCCTATCCACTAAGTTTTTTCTCAGATGTAATTGTATGGAAGTACTGTTAGGGGCTTTAATTACATATATAGAGGGTACGAATGAGAGAGATAAATTGTGAATCACTCGAGATTGATTTAGTCAAAACTTGATAAATATTTGACTTGAATAGACTCGATTCGAGTTCAAGCTTGACTCGAGAGTTCTTAACGGATCGAAACGAACTACTTGATACTCGACTCGAAAAGTTCCTGAACAATTTGAAAATATAATATATTAAAATTTTATTTTTTAAAAATAAATTATTAATAATATTAATATTTATGTGCTGATTTTTTTAAATGCATTATAAAATTTTCATGTATTTAAGGTTTAGGTTCGAGTTTGAGTTTGAGGGTTTAATCGAGTTACGTTTAAGATTTTTTTTCCATTTCAAACTTTTACGAGCTTCGGTTCATGAAACTCGACTCATATTAATTAATGTATCATAACTCCCACAGCTACCCTACAACGCAACGTCCCTTTCAGTTTTAGTTTATTTTACCAAAAATGGCCGATCACATTAATTAATGGATAAATATAGAACTAATTATGTTATGCATGAAGTTTTGCATTAGGTGGTGGGATTACAGTTTACCCTTTCAAGAAATGCTGTAATTGCTTAATCATTGAGAAAAGACGGGCCAAAGTTAAAACAAAATCTCCATTAAAAGATGATGGTTAATTGTATGCTATAATCTCACTGGTTTACTGAAATTATGAGTCCGTATTGTCGTGTTCAAATCTATCGAAACTGGTGTACTTAGTGAAAGTGAAAGCTTGTAATTAAGAAACTGACATGATTGACTACAAAGGGAAATGTTTATTTGGAGGTTCATCCACCGATCTCCAGTATGTTAATTATACAATGTTTGACCGGAAAGAATCACACATGCATGGAGGAATCATAATACAATTATGCAGATCCGATGAAGAAGTCGACAATGACATTGAGTTCGTGGATGATCTTCTCATCAACACCATTTCTCAAGAGCTGAGTATAAGATAAGCAGCCCGCGGTGAGAGCTATATTCGCCAACGCCAAGGGCCCTGAAATCACGTCGTGGAGATTGAACTTGCCGGTGGCCACCAATTTTTTCTTCAAGAAGATCTCTATATCAACGAAAACTCCTTGTAAAACGAAGAACCAAGTGACCTCCCATGTCGGGTTTTTGCGGATCATATGGTAATAAACCAGTTCGTGCATCAAACCAGAAGTGACGAACGTTGCAAAAACAGCCGGCAAAGAAGCCCACCTACGTCCGATTATACGCGTAGAAATGGTTTTTACAGGGTCGTATATGGTGGGACGAAGTGCATCGGAGACCCTAAGGTTCCATCTATGACCCCAAAAGTCTTGCAGTGAAGTGGCTCGAACTGGTGTTTTGAACTGTGGCTCGAGTTCCACACCAGGGAGCAGGAACTGGGCTGGGATTGCAGCCACAGCTAACAACAACTGAATATTAAGATAAGTATGGAAGAAGTAAAGGATCAACAAAACATGGTTATGAAAATATTGCTTGAACTTGTAAGAATAAAACAGAAAAACCAGCAATGCAGCTTTATTTGCAGCCTCTAGGATCAAACTGGGCAACTGAAACGGGGTTTCGCCCTTTTTGATCTTGACCGAGTTTCGTTTGATCTTATACGGCGAACAAGCCGCGAGTATGAAAAGATAAAGCTTTGGAGGGAGTGGTGAAAGTGGACCTTGATCGAAGGCAAATAAAAGAAGCCTGAAATTGGCCAGCCATGAAAGGACAAACACATGGGACGTTCCCAGATGGAAAGTGTGCAGATTAAAGGGCATAATCAATAATAGAATGAGGACAGGGAAGATGGAGAAAAGCCTTGTGAATCCCTTTGAGATCTTTGCTGAAATTCGGTAACAATACCATAACGAAAGTGTTGTTAAAACCCACAACACAATCAAGTTATTGAGCTCACCCTCCATCTTCACCATTTTTGCTATATTTGATGAATAATATGACACTATATATAAAGAATTAGACAACTAATTCAAGTAGTTGTGAGTTAAAGCTTTTAGAATTTTATTTCCCCTTTTTCAAAATATAGGTTTGTTTCAATATTTTTGTGTTGTCTTTTTTTCTACATAATGTTCTTTTAATATTTTTGTGTTTTTTTTATGTTTGATTTTTGTCTAGCCAACGGCGGCACTAATATTATTGTTGGTTACCGATCGCTGGTGACTATTAATTCTCTTGTTTTTTCGTATTATGTCTTTTATCTTTTTTGCTTGAGTCTTTTTAATTTTGAATATGATTATCTCTCCATGTGACATGATTTTTCTCTGCTATTGTGGCATGTGTTTTCTCTGCTCTTGTGGCACGATCCTCATCGTTGTTGGTGTATTTTTCGCATAACTTTGTGGTCATTTTGGTTCTCGCACAAAAACCATCACGACATTTATTTTCTAATTGGTTAGTCGGTGGCCATGTATAGTCAGTTTCCCTCTTTTGGTAAAAGGTTGTTGGCTAATGTAATCAGATTGTGTAACGAAGCAGTCTGTCAGATTATTTGGTTCGCTCTCCACTTATTTATCACTTCGTCAAGCGTCTTATTCGACAGAGACAAAGAATTTTTATGAATTATTGGATTTTGATGTTGGTCATTGTTCTCATTAGAAGGTTTTAATTTTCTTCGTATATTTAGTTTTAATTTTTACTTTTGTATGAGAATTTTGGTGACTATTGCATCCAAATTTCTTTCTATATTTTGATGTGTTATAATTTTGATTATTTTCGTTATTAATAAAATTCAATTTCTATTGTTAAAAAAATACTAAAATTTGAAAAAAAAATTAAAAAATAGTTAAGATTATCTCTTAGGCTATGGGAGATAAAGGAAGAGCACTTGGTAGACTTTTATTTGTGCCAAAGAATTGAATTTATGATAGCCTGCAGGTGTTTTGCATTATTTTTAAAGTTAGGGTTAAACTACAGATTTAACATATTAACTATCATTTTTGTTTCTTTTTGATCATTTAATTATTTTTTAAAAGTAATATCTAACCTTTAATTTTAGTTTCATTTTGATCATTCATCATTAAAAATTTAATAGTGATATTAACGTGCCAACATAAAATTTAATAGTGATATTAACGTGCCAACATAAGATACTATCATGTCATCATTGATTTAAAAAAAAATACAATGTCAATAGTTCTGTCGATTTTTTAACGGTGGGTGATCAAAATAAAACTAAAATGCAACGTCACGTATGATTTTGAAAAACAAATCGGTGACCAAAACTGAATGAAAGTGATAGTTGGGGCATTAAATGTGTAGTTTACCCTTAAAGTTATAAAGTTTATATAATATTTTTAATATATATAGTATAATTATATCATTTAGCTTTTAAATTAATGAAAGCCTGCCATAAAAATAAAATTACCCTTAAAAACCTTTTTGACTAAAATATATAAAATTTAAATATCATATTTATTATATATTATGTAAATGGAATTAATAGCTTTTATAACTCTGACACTTTTTCTAATCTCCTCTGTATTTATGTTGTAGACAATATTAAATATATAGTTAAGAAAATACGTTATCAGAAATGTTAATATATTTTTTAATATTTTCGGTAAAATACTACCTAAAACATTATTTTTTTACTGGAAATATTAATTTAGCTACCTAATTTACGATAGAAAAAATAACATTTTAGGTAGTGCCCAATATTAATATTTCTGGTAAAAAAAATAATATTTTAAGTAGCGTTTTACTAGAAATGTTAAGCATTTTAGATAACGCCCAATATTAACATTTCTAGTAGAAAAAAATAATGTTTTAGATAACACTTTACCGGAAAAAATACATAACTTAGGGAAATAGAAAAAACGAATTTTGTTTATATTACAAAGAAAAACACATGGTTTTCAGAACCGGACTGGTTAGCGAACTGGTAATACTACCGGTTCACTGGTTCAACCGGTCGAATCAGTCCGACCGGTCTGAAGAATCGGATGACGTCATAATTATTTAAAAAATTAAATAAAAATACCAAAAATATTTAATAAAAAATAATTTTTTATATCACAAGTCATATTCAAAGCAAGTCATAACATATATATAAGTTAAAAACCATAAAATCAAGTGAAACAAAATGATTCAAATTAACTACAACATAATATTTAAGGTAAAACATATTAAATAATAAATATAATTATATAACTATAATAAAAAAATAAATTTGGGATTAAAAAATCATAATAAAATGATATTGTTTGGTTTAATTTTTTTTTAAAAACAATCTCACATGACTAAGAAACATAGAAGAGCATCCCAAAAGTCTAAAGAGTAAAAATATGAGAACAAAACAATCTCACATTGCTAAGAAACATAGAAGCGCATCACAACTAACTTCTATAAATAATAGATGTAATTTGGCATTCAAAATCATGGAGCCTTTTGGTGAGCATTGAGTGAACTATTCTTTCACTTCAATCAAGCTCGAATTTTAGGCTTCAATCGAGCTTCTAATTTTTTTTTTTTGAGTTCAAGCCTTTTTGAGTTCAAGTTTCAATATTATATTTCGAGTTTGAGTTCAACTTGATAATTTTTAGCTTGTGAGTTTGAGTTGAGTTGAGCTTACTTTTAAAGTTTTCAAGTTCGAGTCGAACTCAGTAATACTCGAGTTCGACTTGGCTCGTTTAACAAACGACGTTGTTTGGTTTAATTTTTTTTAAAAAAAAAAAACAAAAATCTCGGTTTTTTCTGGTTTTCAGCCGGTCTGGTTCGAACGATTCAGCGGTTCTGACTGGTTCACTAATAACGGTTCAACTGATTTAGATTGAACCAGACTAAACAACGGTTCTCGATTGAACCGACCGGTCCGATCCGATTTTCAAAACAGAGGAAAAACATAATATTATGCACATCAACAAAATAAAATATAAAATTTTTATTAAATATAATCGCTACTTATTTTTCTTCTTTAAAAAATATAACACTTGTGGGCCAACACCTAAATAGAATAAAAGTAACATAAAAAGTAGGGAAATTGGCATTACAATAAATAAATATAAAACAGTTAGGAGATTGAGACGGGAATAAGATGAGTAGTTGGATAATGAATTAACACAAACAACTTTATATAATATTTTAAATATAATTATAAAGCATATAAAATTTAAATATCATATTTAATATATACGTAGCTAACTCTGACAATTATTATAATCTCTTCACCTATAAAAGCCGATGATTTTATTGTGAAAAGTGGGGAAAAAAAATTAAGATTAGCAAACGTCACTGCTAATGCCCAATAGACGGCATACCTTACGATAAACAGGTATAATTTCATAGATTTTACATCATACTCGTTTTAATTGGGGTGTGGATGGATCTAATTTTAGTGAGTAGTTAGTGGGTGTGGATTTAGAAAGTGATACCCGTCGCGGGTAGTGGGCAAGTGATGGGTTTGAGATCTTACCTGCCTCGCATCTGCCCGCTCCACATTCGTCTGCCCATTAAATACCCATTAAATTTTGGATAATTATGAATTTAGGTATAATTTTAGAGACTAATTTATAAATCTTAATATTGTATGAGATATAATTTATAATTTAACCAAATATAAGGTATAATTTTAGAGACTAATATTATAGTTCGTAATGGACGTATTTATTTTATGTTTGTTGATTATGTATAATTTAAGGTTGTTGTCATGCAGGTTTAGCCGAATACGTCTTCAGTTGGGTAGTAGGTGTGGGGATGGATTTAAGAATGTACCCGCATGGGTGGGTGTGAATTTAAAAAACTTTACTCATCATGAGTGGTGGACGAGTGGTGAATTTAAAAATATTAAATGAATATAAGGATAGGAGAGGAGTATCCGCTCCCGACGTGCAATCATTGTGCTGGGTGGGGGGGGGGAACAGAGAGCCTATGTGACGGAAATAATAAAACAGTTTATTTATATTACAAAGAAAAAAACAATAATATAATTGTTAAATTCATAGAAAGAGAGTAAAAGAATTCACCAAATATTCATTTATTAAGCACTACTACTAAAATAACTTTACAAGTACACTATATACTAGTTCACAATTCTAACCAACTCCTGTAACCTCCTCAACTACTTCAACTAACCACCATTACTCAGTACACTCCCCTCTCGGATAAAAGAAATTATACTGTTGAACGCCAATGCTTTAGTCAGAAAGTCTGCAAGCTGGTTTTCTTGTAGTACAATAGCATGTGATTGACCTCCTAGTCATCAAACAAAACATTTCATATGCTAATGGAGAATGGGAACATATGGCAAAAGTTTTATATGCTAATGTTGTTGGGAGTTTGATGAATGCGATGGTGTGTATGAATCCTCACATTTCGCAAGCAGATCAAGTTGTGAGCATGTAGATGTATGATCATAGAAAAAAAAACATTGGCAAGGTACATGTTGGAAAATCGCTCATTTGGCCCTTGAGCTATTAAGTTATTTATAAGTTTAGTTATTGAAACTTAACTATAAATAGACCTAATTATCTCCATTTGAAATTATCCCAAAAATTATCTCTGACATTTGTTTTTCTTCATTCTTCCACTTTGTAATATTTTGGGAATTTTGAGAAATTTCATTTGTTGTAATATTTTATTGATATTAAAGTTATCATCTGTTGGTGGTACTCAAGAAGTAGACGCTATTTTATTGAACCTCGTAATTTTGATCAATTGTGAAACTATGTTCGTTTAAAAAATAACCATATTTCCCAACAAAGATGTAACTAGTGAAAATGAAAACTTGTAAGAAACTGACATAATTGGCTTCCAGATGGAAATATTTATTTAGAGGTTCATCCGATAATATAAAAAAAGTTAGTTGTACATTCTTTATCGAAAAACAATCACACATGTATGAAGAAATCATATAACTTATGCAGATCCCTTAAAAATCTCAACAGTGACATTGAATTCGTTGATAATCTTCTCATCAGCACCATTTCTCAAGAGTTGAGTATACGATAAGCAGCCAGCCGTGAGAGCTATATTTGCCAACGTCAAGGGTCCTGAAATGGCCTGATGGAGCTTGAACTTGCCGTTGGCCACCAATTTTTTCTTCAGAAAGATCTCTAAATCAACGAATAGTCCTTGTAAAACGAAGAACCAAGTGACCTCCCACGTAGGGTATTCGCGGATTATATGGTAATATATCAGTTCATGCATCAAACCCGAAATGACGAATGTTGCCATAACAGCAGGATATGAAGCCCACCTACGTCCGATTATACGTGTAGAAATGGTTTTTACAGGGTCGTATATGGTCGAACGTAGTGTATCTGAGACCCTACGGTTCCATCTATGCCCCCAAAAGTCTTGCAGTGAAGTGGCTCGAACTGGTGTTTTGAACTGTGGCTCGAGTTCCACACCAGGGAGCAGGAGCTGGGCTGGGATTGCAGCCACAGCTAACAACAACTGAATATTAAGATAAGTATGGAAGAAGTAAAGGATCAACAAAACATGGTTATGAAAATATTGCTTAAAGTTGTAAGAATAAAACAGAAAAACCAGCAATGCAGCTTTATTTGCAGCCTCTAGGATCAAACTGGGCAACTGAAACAGGGTTTCGCCCTTTTTGATCTTGACCAAGTTTCGTTTGATCTTGTACGGAGAACAAGCCGCGAGGATGAAAAGATAAAGCTTTGGAGGGAGTGGTGAAAGTGGACCTTGATCGAAGGCAAATAAAAGAAGCCTGAAATTGGCCAGCCATGAAAGGATAACCACATGAGACGTTCCCAGATGGAAAGTGTGCAGATTAAAGGGCAGAATCAATAATAGAATGAGGACAGGGAAGATGGAGAAAAGCCTTGTGAATCCCTTTGAGATCTTTGCTGAAATTCGGTAACAATACCATAACGAAAGTGTTGTTAAAACCCACAACACAATCAAGTTATTGAGCTCACCCTCCATCTTCACCATTTTTGCTACATTTGATGAATAATATGACACTATATATAAAGAATTGGACAACCAATTCAATTAATGAAAAGTACGTAGACCTGTAAATGAACTGAACGTTCAACGAACCGTTCATGAACCGTGCGGCGGGAAGTTCGTTTATGTGCGTTTATTTATTAAATGAACGAACATGAACAAGATTTTGTGTTCGTTTAATTAAATGAACGAACATGAACATAGGTCTCGTTCGTTCATTTACGTTCGTGAACGTTCGGTTATGTTCGTTCGGTTATGTTCGTTTATATTCGTTCGGTTATGTTCGTTTATGTTCATTCATTTATGTTTAACCCAATATTCTTAAATAAATTTTGGTGACCAATTTGTAAGTATCTTAAAAATATTAATTAATCTGATATTCTGATGACCAATTTATGTTCCTATATTCATTTTCCCCCTTTTTTCCCAAACCCTAGTATTCACTGGAGAGTAGAGACGATCACTGGAAGCTTCAAAACAAGTTATATTATAGTGCAATCTGAAGTTTTACAAGTCTGTTTTCATCTCTTTCTTTGTTTTATTTGGCTTAATAGTTGATATGTAAAGTTATTGTGGGTATCTTCACATCTAAAACTCAAGAAAACATCATACTTATTTCTAGAAATAGATGGGAAGATAAATGTAATAATCGAAAGTATATGAGCATCAGTAAAGAGAAAAATATATAGAATTTGCCATAAAACAAAACAAAAGTTTCTATGCAATTTCTGAAAAAGAGTGTAATAGCGGAAGTAATGGGTTTTCCAGGAAGAGCCCATTAATAAGTAGAAAATACATTTTGATAATGAACTTTTATTTTCATAGTTCTTGTGTGACCTTTAGTTGTAGAGTAGACTTTAGGTATGTTAAAATTTTTGAATGGTGGTTTAACAATAATATCAGTTACAATATGTAGTATCGAAGGGATTTCGAATCTATGTTATTGCCTTGTAGTCTAATTTGTACCGTTCGAAATCTTTATGCTGTTAAATTTTCTACTCTGCCAACAGAAATGACCATTATTAACAAACCTCACTAAAGTCTGACATTGATGTCACAAAACTTTTAGCCATCGAATTTATTAGAATAACGTAGTGGAAAATGATTGTTCATATGTAATCATGGACCACTAAGATAAATGTTATAGCGTTAAATTAAAGTCGTGTAAATCATTTAATATCTTTAAAAGATCGATCGAAATATTTGATATCTTCAAACATTTCATCACTGCTAATCAGCTCTTACGCTATTTATCACTGTAGATTTGGTTGATTTGCATTGTCGACTATTTTTCATGAAAGAACAATGGAAGGTAGGGTCTCCAACGTTTATGTTCGTTTATGTTCGTGTTCATTTATGTTCGTGTTCGTTTATGTTCGTGTTCGTTTATGTTCGTTTATTTATTAAATGAACGAACATGAACAAGTTATATTCCTTAATAAACGAACATGAACAAAAAAAAATTTGTTCGTTTATGTTCGTTTATTTATTAAATGAACAAATATGAACATACCTCCGTTCGTGTGCGTTCAGTTCGTTTACAGGCCTAAAAGTACGTATTTGGCTATGAGAGCGAATAAGAAGAGTATGTCGTAGGTACGCTGTTATCAGTACCACTTTCATTTGTGCCGAGGAATTGAAATAAATATTATCGTGATTCGTGATTTTTTGCGGTTGTTTTGCACAATATTAAAAGCTGAAAAGTTTTTTGTAATATTGTTAATATATGTATATTGTATTAGTACAGTAAACGAGACAAGTCAAGTTCGAGTAAGTTGAGTTTAACTCGATTTGAAAATTTTAAAATAGAGTTAGACTCAATAAGAAATTTCGCGAGCCTAATATTTTCATGCTTGATTCGAACTCTAAATCATAGAATGAAGCTAGTAAAAGCTCGAAAAAAAAAACTTAAATTTAACTCAACGAAAGCCTCAAACTCAAATCGAATTTAAACCTTAAATAAATGAAACCCTTATATTGCATTATGTGTTAATATTATTAATACTTTTTTAAAATAAAATTTTAATATTTTTTATATTCAATCTGCTAACGAGTTTTTCGAGTCGAGTATCAAGTAGCTCTTTTTGGCTCGTTAAAAACTCGAGTTGAGCTCGACCTCAAGTCTAGTTCATTTGAGTCGAGTATTTATCGAGCTTTAACTGAGTTGATCTCGAACAACTCGCGATCTGTCTCGTCTCATTTACATCTTTATATAGTATAATTAAAACATATTTAATTTTTTTAAATATTTAAAATTTAAAAATAATATTTATTATATATGCAAATTACAGCTAACTCTGACACTTTTCCTAATCCCTTCACCTAGTAATGCCTTCGATTTTATTGGGAAAATTAAAGGTTAGCAAATCGTCCATTGCCAATGGTAGCTGAGATGAGACACCACATGGAGCAGTCAATGTGATACAGACGATAAGTTAGGCAAATAAAAGCAGTTAATGGCATGACAAGTCCTCAAACTATGACTCTCATTTCATGTTAGTCTTAAAACTTTTTTAATGTTTTAATGTCAATCTTAATATTCTAAGGGTCATATTGGTATAGCTTTTGAAAAGTGACACTTAAAAGTGCTATAAAAACAAATTTTTAAAAGTATTGTACAATAGCACAGTTTAAAATTTAACTGTTTCAGGTTGCTGTTAAAAAAATGAGTTTGAAGAGGTAAAATGTTCATTATAGATACTATGTTGTAAATTAAAAATATAGCATTTAAATTATCTTTACACTTATATATGAATCGTATCAATTAAAACTATAATAAATTCAAAAAAAATATTATTATATATGAAATTATATCAATTTAAACTATAATAAAAATATAAAAAACAAATAAAAATATATTTTATATATGTCACTATTAATAATTTTAATATATAAATCATGAATTTATTTATTATTAAATAATTAAAATAAATTATTAAAAGTAATAAATTATTTTTAAGGATGTTAGCATTAAATTATTAAAGCAAAATATAAATACATAATTGAGTAGAGCCCATGCATTAGTAAGAGTAAAATTATAATTTAATTTTAAACGCAAAGTTAAAAATGAAAAAAACTAAAAATCCTAACTTTTACTTTGGTTTGAAACTACCGTTTTTACCGTATTTTCTTTCATTTTTTCGTTTGACATTGATTTTGCAGTCAAAACCAATAGTATTATATCTTCTTGAATTTCACAAAAAGTTAAACTTAGCTCTCATCAAGCCATGAAATAAAAACACCAAAAAATGGACTTAAAGTCTTCCAAGCTTCACTCTTTGGTCTTTCTTTTTACCTTGGAGTGTCTTTGTTGGTTGATTTTTCTTTGTATTTTAATGCACAACCACCTCCTCTCCACCAAAATGAAATTATAAATTGAAGCACCCAAAACTATTAATAATCATTTAATTCACAATTTGATACTCTTGAGGTTTAATTCACAATTTGATATATATATATAATTCACAACCACATGTTCTCTATTTATATCATATTTACTATATTAAATGGATATATATATATATATATATATATATATATATAGAATGTCTATTTTAACCAATAGTATTATTTAATTGAGGTTTCTTATTTTTTACTTTTAAGATACACATATTTTCTCATTCTGCATTCTAAATCAAAATTGTACTAATTTGCAAATTGAGCCTTTTGATTGATGTTTCTTTAATGAGATTATAATTAAAATTTATTTTGTATCAAATTTAATTAAAATAATACTGTAATTAGAAGCACCCACCCACCCATACCCTCTAGGATATATTTATGTATTTAATGTCCTTGATAAAGACGACTCCTAGAAATTGGGATTTTATTGAAAGAGCTGAAAATCCATTTATTGGGCAACCGCTTATGGATAGTACTTTCAATCATTGTAAGGATACAAATACGAAGTGAAAGGGTACCTATATTAGTAAAATTTTAATTTTAGTCCCTTTAAAATGTATTACACATAATTAGTAAATAAGAAGTATTTTAAATAATTTATTAATGATCTTATACTCCGGCACAAGATCGGATACATACATACATACATACCCATTATTTTAGATAAGATGTTAAATATAGTTCAATATATTAAAGGAAGAGAAAAAAATAAGAAATTTTGCATATCCATTATATCCTCGATATGAGGATCAAGCTGGCGATTCTGCTGACGTTTCCCCAGCTTCCTCGAGACATGGTTGTTCTTCTTCACCTCCTCGGTAGCAGTTTCAGCTTCCTAAACACAAATTAAGCAAAACAAGCAAAGATGTAAACAGAAACACTCGGCCTGATATTAAAAACACCCAGGACAGGTCTTTATTCTCGACCATACAGTACTACTCTGGATTGATCCATAATTTAAACTTTTAGGAACCCAAGTTGGAGAAGGCGCAGACACCAAGAGAGATGTATATGCAGCATAATGATAATAACCTCTGGGTCAAACAATCTGATAGTGTGTTCAAAACCAGTTGAGACAAGTGGAATGAAGCATGTCAAGGTGCATGCAATGAGGGATCATATCAAGGTTCAATTACAACAAGACACAGACATTAAAGCAAGAATATTAACCAAAATGACTGACGGATCTAATGGTTGAAACATCAACAGATGAGTGATCTACAGAAACAGTATCCATGTGACCCGAATGTAAAACAAACATTCCCTAGTTCTCCTTCTTTCTTGGCAGCTGCAGCAGCCGATGGTTTCTTCTTGCGGCCAATGTCAACACCATAGTGCTGGAGATACCACTGCTTGAAGGGAGCAGCATCAACTTGAACAATAACACTCTTCACCTGACCTTGAGTACGGACCAGCTCATTGTTGGATGCATTGTACACAACATCCAAGATTCTGGTCTTACGGGTCACCGACTCACTTCGCCATGAGCAGTTCCCGGTATCAAGCATCAGAGCACGCCACTTAACGTTTCCACCACGAACCCTAATCCTCCTGTCTTGTTGCTAGACAGTTTTGTATTTGCAGGT